AGCACAGCACACAGTACATGATCCAAAGTTGTTACCTAATAGCATCTCATTTAATCCTCATCACAGCAAACTCACTGGCCTTTGTTAATTTCTTCCTCTCTTCCTAACATTAGAATACTCCAGCGTTTAATCCTTTGTTCTCTTCTCCTTCCTATTTACTCTGGTTGTTCTCCTCTGTTCCTGTGGCTCTTTCCCAGGCTCTGCCCTCTCCCCTAAAGTCCAGACTACACATTCAAATGAATATTTAACAGGCATCTCAAACCTGGGATCCTCCTCAGTCTTCCCAATCTCAATAAATTGTATATTCCTCTTCCACTTGTAAAGGCCCAAATCATTGGGATTATTTTGACTTTCCCTTTTTCATTCTACGTCTTATCTCTTAGAACCTATTATCTTTACCTTCAAAATATATTTAGAATCTGTTCCACCCCCTTCCACTCCTGTTACCCCGGTGTTGGCCACCATCTTGTCTCATCTTAATGATCAAAACTGCCTCTTCTCTGCTCCCATCCTTGCCCTCTATGGTCTACCCTCCAAAGAGCTGCCAGAGTAATACTAGTAAAATATATGAGTTTATATATAGAGATAATGTCACTCTATTACTCAAAACCCTCCAACAGTCCCTGAGCCACAAAGAGGAAAGCTGAAGTCTTTACAATGGCCTGCATGACCTCCATGAGCACCAATACCATATAGTGTTTCCCCAATATTCACTTCATTCCTCGTATTCATATTGGCTCGCCTCTCCCTTTGCACATATTGTTTCCTGCCACAGTCTTCTTAGTTACAGGTCCGGCCCACTTGTTCCTCTCCTTCGGGTCTTCACTCAGTTAGGGTTGCCTCCAAGAAGCCTCCCCTGGCCACTCCCAATAATCGAAATACTTCTCTTGACACTTCCTACTCCCATTTCTTCCCTATTTATTTTTCTTCTTAGCACTTATCACAACCTGCTACGTGGTATGTTTTATTATTTCATCTTGTTCATTCTTTTGTCTTCCTCATTAGAATGTAAGTTCCTTGGGGACAAACTTTTCAATTTTTTTTGTCTGCTTTACCCTCAGACATCTATCTAAAATAGTATCTGGCACATAATAGTACTTAGTGAATATTTGTTGAATGAATGAATAAAATGTGAGCTATTATTTTTTTATAGTCCCAAGTACAATGTTGGGATAAAAAAGAATAATGCAAGATAGGAAAATGTATACCCACAGAATTACATATTTATTGTACATGACACAGTGGATTTGTATCTGGAAAAAAATGTGTAAAATGAGTGTTTATAACTCAAAATATTTAAAGTATACTAGCAACATTTCTATTTCAAAGAATCTGTTATTGATCTCTGCTTAAAACAAAGGACTTCAAAATATAATATGAATAATTTTCCCCTGATATAGCCCTTATAAGTTAAATATATGTCAAGTTTTCTTACTTCACAGTGTGCTAATCTATAATGTGTAAAAACAGAAAACAGGTTGCCTTTGAACTTTACACTAGCACATTTTAGTTCTAAAATAAATTAACAAGAAACCTAAGGGAAACTCCAAGAGCTGCTGGTGAGACATTTAAGCTACTTTACACAGTTCTACTCTCCCAACAATCCCCTCACCCACATCCACAAAAACCAGTGAAAACCATCAACTACCTAACATATTGTCAACAGTCCCTCCAGGGGGCAGTATTGCCCCCATTGAGAACCACTGCTCCAAGGACAGGGTAGGACTGTGAGGTAAGTCCAGCCCTTCCCCTTCTGCTTTGGACCTCAGTCCCTTTAATGATAAGATGGAGGAAAAGGTAAAAGGAAATATCTTCTACTTAATGGGGGTATGTTTCTCCTCTGAGTTAGCTGTAACTGCTACCTTAGCTTGTAGGTCTGTAAGCCTTCAGTTTTCCCCTTATATTCTGTTTAAGGTGGGGTTAGGGATGCCAGTAATCTGATCTAGCTCCACCTAGGACTTCCATGGAGAAGTGGCCCAACCTGAAATCGAAGAATTTAAGCAGCCCAGGTAGCGGGGTAGGAATGGGGAGGGGTGTGGGTAGTGACATCTGCTTTTTTTTTTTCTATGTAACTGTGTAGTATAAAAAGACAAATCTCTTTTACACTAGTTTGAAGAAAGGTAACTGAGAAAAGTATGCTGGAGTAGAAAGCCCCCCAGGCCAGAAAACAAACACCTGTGTTATACCGCCAGCCCTATTGCCACCCATTGCGTGATTTGGGATATTTCAATTCTCTAGACAACTTTTGACTCATCTGCAAAATAGGATAGAGACTAAATTAGAGGATGTTATATATGAATTCTTCAAATCCTTGAATTGAACACAACTCTGAGCACTTAAACTCTACATGCAGACAATATACACTGCACTTCTCTGTGTGTCTGGGTGTCCTTGAGGAACGTGAGAGTTTTGATCCTCACTCTTTAAACTTTTTTGTATAAGACCCGGGCCATTGAATTTGGAAAGCATTCTTGAATTAGAGAACCAAGAGTGTTTTACTTAAAATATTATTAAACATGGCGAATCACTGTACTTTAGAATTAAGAAATCATTTGTAAAAGGAAATAGTTTGTTAATATATATTTTTTCCTCACCTGAGGACATTTTTGCATAGAGCAAGAGGGAGAGAGAGAGAGAAAGAAACATTGATGTGAGAGAGACACATCGACTGGTTGCCACTCACACAACCCAACCCAGATGGGAGCAAACTGCAACCGAGTATGTGCCCTTAGCGGGAACTGAACCCGGGTCTCTCTGGACTGTGGGCTGATGCTCTAACCTCTGAGCCAAACTGGCCAGGGGAAAATCATTTGTTAGTAAAGTCAAGTTAAAGGCCTTGCATTTTTCTCTATGTCTAGGTGAATATGTGACATTGCAAATGATTTATCAACACTTCATGATTCTCTTCTGTATACCACACAATACACAGAACAATAGGCAATAGTAAGGACATAAAGTTATGGAAGATATGCATGCTCTTGTGGAGGTCCCTACAATCTGTAATGTCTCCGATTTCTTAGAAGCAGAGCCAAGATGCACCTTTGTCCAAGTGATTCATGGACAGCGAGCTCTCATGGCAAACATCTGAAAGGATGAAGCAGGAGTAGTTAGGCAAACATGGGGTTTCAGAAGCCTAACTTCATTCTGAACCCATCGGGAACTCTGGAAGGTTCTCAATTTCACCAAGCTTCTTCAGCCTGGAGGCAGGTGGTCTGGGCTATTAGAACCTCACTGCAGCCAGCCATTTGCTATAGGTCGCCTCCAGGGGCCATTCGGGGACCTAATCTCCCAGACATCACCAGATGAAGTGGTTCCCAACAGCCAAGTGCAAACCTATGCAGAAGGTGTGCTCTTTGCAGTTAAAACCCACAGCTGCTGGGAGGATGAATACGCACCCTGGAAACGAGAGTCTGGGTAGGGCACCAAGAGTATCTACTATGCATGGTATTAAAGGAGCCACATCATGTCCTCATGCTATCCTTTAAGAGCACTTACAAAGCCACCTAACAGGAAGTGACATGTAAGACAGCACATTCTGAATGTCTAGAGGTATAGAGAGAGTAACCCAGGCAATGTGTATTGGATGCTTGCTCTGTGCCTCACACTGTTATGCAACCTTCTTCCTCTCAAGAAATCTACAATGTCGGTGATATTTGCTTCCATTCCCTAGCCTACCCAAGGCACAGAGAGGTTCAGTAACTTGGTCAGGGCCACACAGCGAATGCCAGTGAATGATCATTTTATTGGCAATAATATAGTAGGGCTTCTCAGGAACAGAGAAAATGAAATTCCAAGCCCTACTTCAAATCAGAGGTTTAATTTGGGCTTTCTATTTTAACAAGTCCCTAAAGTAATTCTTATACTGAAGTGTCAGAGCCATTGTCAAGTGAAATACGTTTTCCAAGTTGGAGAGAAGTTATGTAAAGGGCAATATCAGGTAAAAATGATCAGCAGAAATAAATGTACTTGTGAATTGTTGTAGATAGTTTGAAGGGAGTGAGAGGGAAGGTCAGAATAAAATTGAGAATGAGCTCTCAAATACCAAACAGTAATTACACAGGAAAAATAACCTTCTTGTCCTCTCATTGTTTCTTCAAATTAGAATAAAATAGTGGAAATACAAAGCGTGAGGAACACTGGCTTTGATTACCCACAAGGTGTTCTTCTCTGCTTCTGTGCTGGCCTACGTGGGCATTATCCCTAAAAATATACTAAACTACCTGCTTCCCAGAGAAGACCACTTTCATAAAATGATGTTCTTATAAAAATTGGACCACAGAGACAAAAGAGAAAAAAATGTAGAGATTATAAGCATGATGCCACTTGGCTATAAGGAAATTTTTTCCAGGTAATTTCATGGGGGTACCAACCTCCTGTGCCATCTTTCCCATTGTCGACTGATCTAACGAAGGAGAAGGGGTTGCTGAGAGGGCAAGAGAAAGATTCTACTCTTTTATGATGATGTTGGTATATCAGATTCACTGGGTCCCCTTTACGTGAATACATTAGCTCATCATTGCCGTCCAGTTCACTGGGACAATTGTATACAAATTCCGGGAATTGTTTGGAGAAACGCTTGGAAGTAATATGCTAATTATTTTTCATTCACTAAGTTGTTTGTTTGCTCTATTTCCATATTATTGGTGCATATTTCAATCCAGTATTTATTTTAAAAACTTATTATGACATTTTTTGTATGCTTCTCTGTTAACACCAGATTAAATACTCTAGCGATTTAAGGGATTAATAGGCAGTCCTCAAAATGACCTTAAACGAACCTAAATGGCAAAATCATATAGTGGAGGGCTTTGGAGCTGGAGATGAGGGCTGGAAATTTATATTTTGACACTGTGGGAAAAAAAGAGGAAAAGAAGGAGGAGCTTTGAGTATTTATGATTACCTACTGACTACACTGACCTCCCCTCACAAACCTACTAGCAGGTGTTTAGAGTCTACTGCTCAGTTTAATCATATTAGTGAAGATTATAAAGAAGCTTTAAAATCCCAAGGCTAGTGCTCAGTGCTAGCATGGTTCAGAGAGCATTTTAAAACAAGCACACAGAGAAAGAGACAGTTCACTCAGTAAGTTAAGAGCTGAGAGGAGGGTTGGCTAACATTGACTTGAAGCAAGTTCAGCAATTCGGGTGTATGGAGTAACATTTACCTTTTCGCAGGCAAAAGATGCCGGTGATCAATATAGAAGATCTGACAGAGAAGGACAAATTGAAGATGGAAGTTGACCAGCTCAAGAAAGAAGTGACATTGGAGAGAATGCTGGTAAACTGCTGTTTTCTTTTTACTTCTATTTAAACTGGAGATTCTGTAGAATAAACCACTGAAGGGGTGCAGAATTTGCTACCCTCAAATATGCCTCTTTGGCATAAAGATTACTTTAGTTTGATTTTTTTTTTTTTTTATCCTCACCTGAGGATATATTTTCATTTTTGTTCAGATAGAGCAGGAGGGAGAGAAAGGAAGAGAGAGATAGAAACATCCATGTGAAAGGGACACATCGAGTGGCTGCCACCCGCACGACCCAACCAGGGTCAGGGACAAACTGCAACCGAGGCACATGCCCTTAGCGGGAACCAAACCCGGGTCTCTCCGGACAGCAGGCCGATGCTCTAACCGCTGAGCCAAACTGGCCAGGGCTGGTTTGATTATTTTTTTGAGAAACAACAGACACAAGGAGAACCTGAAAACATGGTAGAAGTTGCCTTTTTATAAGAGACTTACATTTATGAGGGAAATCTCCATTTGTGAGGGTGTCTCCCTCTCTGTACCAGGAAGAAAAGGATGACTAAATCTCTAGAAACTATTATCAACAGAAAAGGTGAGGACCTTAACAATCTTACCCTTGTTTACTATACTTTGCCTGGGAACCTCTCATGAATGGCCCTGGGCCCCACCTCTCCCCTCCCACCCATCTTTCTTTTGTCTTCAGATGGGGATGGTATTTAAGGAAGTGTCTTGAGCCATTTTGGGGAGTTACTCAGTTTCCCCAGGTATCTCCTATGAATAGAGAAGCTATACACGTTATTAAATTTCCGGGTTTTTTTTCCCCACTGTTAATCTACTTTTATATTACAAGAGGTTCTGAGCAAGAAGCTAGTAAGATAGAGGGAAATTTATTTTTCCAGCTACACCATTCACTGGAGAGGCTCAATGGAGTTAAAAATAAATTGTGCAGGTAAAAATTTATCAGATATTTTAAAAATTAATAATCCCAATTATCTTTTGATTTAGATTCTAACTCAAAGAATTGGCAAACTATTTTCCAAGAACCAAATCCAGCCATTACCTGTTTTTGTATGACCATTGAGTTTCAAATGCTTTTACAGTTTTAGAGTTGTTATAAACAAAAGAAAAGAAAAGAATATGAAACAGAGACCATATTGTAGCTAAGCAATAAAATAAAGCAATGCATTTCAGCCAAGCCCCCGTCCCCTCCAGCACTGCCATGGCCAGTAAGGAGTGAATACATTCTGTCCCTTGTTTGGAAATACGAGTTCAGGCATAAGAACTCACTGGTTCCTCCCTCAAAACACCTGACAGGTCTTGGAAATGGTTACCAAGAGTTCTCTGCCATCGTAGGAGAATAAATGGCAAAGGTTTAAAAATTTCCAACAAAGCAAGCAGTGACTAAAGCTTGGAAAATGTAGATATGTATTTTAGATTTGCTCATTTTAAGAAGGTTAGTGGAAACAAAAACTCCTTCACAAGTGATAGTGATAAAAGTATATTTTATATATATTTTTTAAAAACTCATTTTATCAGTCCAAAGTGAAAAAAAGGAGTGTATTATCTTCCTACTTTGCTCAAAACTCTTACTCCCAATAAAAAATAGAAGTTTTGGTTTCTTTATGTTGACAATTGTCTCAAACTTACCTTTTCCATATAGGAAAAACATATTTTTGCTATAAAGATAAAATTAAATCTATAAACAGCAGAAAAGCTTGGAACACATTCCAAAATAGGTTTAAATCTTTATCTTTATGATTTTGAGAATAGAAAATAAATTTTGGAGTAAAAGAGTTATTTTTCCTTCTTTACTTGAAGCATCCAAAAGCTGTTTATTATTTATATACTGGGGATTGCGGTTTTGCAAGCAATTTGGCTGTCTTCGTGTTTATTACTCACTTGTGGCGATTCACCAGCAATTTTTACTTTGAGTGAACAGTACATACATCACCATCTGCCAGGTTTGGGGTTCCTTTGTCTATTATTCAATGTCTCCTTGCTCTTAGAAGTCAAACTAATTTAATCCCAGACTGCCAAAATTATGCACACACACACACACACACACACTCACTCACACACACACACACATACCACACACACACACCACGGAACTTCCAGGACCTGAACCCACAAGTCTGACACAGATGACATAGAGTCATTAACTACAGTACGACTCAGTGGACAGGCTCTTGAACCATATCCCTGGTTTAGATTCTGACTCCACAATTTTCTCCCTATGTAACACTCACCTTAGTAATCTAACTTACCTGTGCCTCCCTTTCTTCTGTGAAATGGGCATAGTAATGACATCTAACGCAGATGGTCCTTGGGAGGAATAAGTGGGATAATACATACAAAGCTCTGCGTGCAATGCCTAGTATATAGCAAGTACTTTCTACCACCGTTATTTTTTAAATCACTATAAATACCTGTGAGCCAGACTGGTTCATAATGTGCCTTAACCTTCTTGTTGTCAAGGCTGCAGTTCTGTCAGACTGACAGCTTATTGCGTCCAGTTTCTAAAGCCGACAGATCTGCCATGATTATAAGTCGATGTAATAAGCAGCCTAAAGATAATCTTTGGAGTAATAGCTAAAAATAGCTACCATTTGACTGAGCATCTTTGTGTGCTAGACACTTAATGCAGCCAGTGTTGCTCTTGCTATTTCATAGATGAAGTAACTAAACCTGAACTAAGATGCATAGCTGGCCAGTGGGCGGAGCCAAAATCGAAACCTGGAGTGGCCTGAATCCAGTGTGGCACTTTCCACTGTACCATGTAATCCTGACGTCAACCACAAGTACTTATAAGAGACCTCACTGACATAATTTTAAACGCAGTGCCCTGGCCAGTTTGGTTCAGCAGTAGAGCATCAGCCGACAAACTAAAGAGTCCTGGGTTCGATTCTAGCCAAGGGCATGGACCTGGTTGCGGTTGTTCCCAGGCCCTGGATGGGGTCCTGCAGGAGGCAACGGGTTGATGTGTCCCTCTTATGTTGATGTTTCTCTCTCTCCCTCTTTCTCTTCCTCTTTCTCTACCTGAAGATAAGTAGAAAAATATCCTTGGGTGAAGATAAAATATAATAATGATAATTTTAAACACACGTTCACATAGGACTTTAGGTCATTGATCGCTCTTTGTGTCTTGAGATCCTAGCCAGACACTGAACTCCAGCATTAGGACAGCAGTTTAAACCTCTGTTCCTGACTTCTGATTGGGGCCAAAAAGCTGGTGTTTGGAAGAAGGGGAAAACGTGAATTTCAATCTCAATCATGAGGAAGAAAAAAGTGAACCTCAATGACTGTATATTTCAAAAGTGTTTACAAACTCCACGTTTCATCCTATGAAGGAGCCACCTAACTAATGCCTTGCCCCAGGTAGAAGGGATTTGTTCTAATCTGTAAATAATGAGTTTGCAGAGTTGTAATCTTATGATTAATGTTGCTTGGACTTTGCATACAAAATTGGCATAAAGATTTTATTTCAAAACAAAACCATAAATTGGCTACAAAACTTATGGAATGGCCACTTAATGGACTGCCCAAAATGAAGTTTTTTCGTGTTAATGTCATGAATGATAAATTAAGTGAAAACAGCAAGTTCAAAGTTAAAAAAATGAATACTTTGTTCCCATATGCCTATCAATGGGCACCCACACACACACACTTATATTTAAATAGTATAGAACATTGCCTCTCTCTAAAAGGTATGTTATATGGTACATTAGCAGGCTCTGGCTGAGTCCTTTAAAATACTACAGCCTGGCTCTTCAGGGAGTTATTGCTATGATGCTGCAGGTAAGTGAGTACCAAGTTCATAAACAAAACAAATGGTTCAGTTCAGCGAATATGTAGTTACTGAGCACCAACTAAATCAGGCTCTGTTCTACATGCCCAGGATACGTGTCAACAAATCAGCCAAAAGTCCCTGACCCTTTGAGTTCACCATCAAGTACACTGTCATGATCAATCACTGTAGATAAGGCTTAAAATAAAATTCTATGTGTGTACTTCTGAGATTCCAGCAGCAGTGATAAGCCAGGAATTTAGTGATTATTCATCCCTCCCACCTTTACAGGTCACATTTTTGGAGTAAGGAAAATGTTTAATTAATGTTCCCTCTGGTGACATTCTTGACTTGTGCTGCCAGCTGTGCTCTGACCCATGGATCCTGTCCCCTTTTAAGAAGCCTGAGGCAGCGTCTGCTGGGAACCCTCGGCTGGAGTGTGGCCAGCTGTTGATCCTTTGCCTGGAGAGACCCAGGAGGACTGGGAGGGAGCGGCTGTTTCCTCTTCTCCTAAAAATGAATATGCATGGGCAGAAAGCAGAATCAAATTAAAAAGATAGAACACACAAAAGTTATAATAGCGCTGGCCGGTTTGGCTCAGCAGTTAGAGCATCAACCTGCAGTCCAGAGAGATCCAGGTTCGGTTCCCGCTAAGGGCACATACCTCAATTGCAGTTTGTCCCCGGCCCTGGTTGGGTCGTGCGGGTGGCAACCACTCAATGTGTCCCTTTCATGTCGATGTTTCTCTCTCTCTCTCTCTCTCTCTCTCTCTCTCTCTCTCCCTCTCTCTCCCTCCCACTCTATCTGAACATAAAATGGAAAAAATTGTCCTCGGGTGAGGATTAAAAAAGAAAAAGTTATAATAAATACATTTTTGGATTCTGCAGTACTGTATATTAAACTAAATGAGTCATCTCTTTCTCCTTTCCTTTAAGGTATCCAAATGTTGTGAAGAAGTAAGGGATTATGTTGAAGAAAGGTCTGGGGAGGACCCACTGGTGAAGGGTATCCCAGAAGACAAAAATCCCTTCAAGGAGCTCAAAGGAGGCTGTGTGATTTCATAAAACAACAACAACAATAATAACAATGAATAAATAAATCCTTGGAACATCTTGAGCTTTAATGACAATATTAATTTTGGTCATGCATAATAATATCATGAAGCATATACAATAATATTTAAATTTATACATGTAAACTTTTAATAAAACTTGTGATGTGATAATGTTAAATCTATGCTTTTAACATATTTATTTAGCAGAGGGTTTAACACATAATTGAAAATAAGTATTGATGGACCCCTTTCTTTAACAATAATTACTATGTTTTATGAATGAGCCTGTATTATGTTGGTTGCCAGCATATAGCTAATGTTTTATGTTCTTTCACTTGCCTTTCAGCACTCATAATATTCCACCTGGAAATTTCATGGTTAGACTTATATTTTTCCCAACCTTTCTCTTGCTTACTGAATTGGGAAGTATATTCTTTTGATTCATAAGATTTACCTTTGTAGAAGGTGTGCTGTGAATATTTTTGCTGTTGATGTTTTCTTGTCTTTTTAAAAATACTTTTATTGATTTTTAGATTTTTATTTTTATTTATTTATTTTTTTATTTTTTATCCTAATGAGGACATTTTTCCATTTTTTGTACAGACAGAGTGGGAGGGAGAGAGAGGAAGAGAGAGGAAGGGAAACATCGATGTGAAAGGGACACATCGAGTGGCTGCCACCCGCACGACCAACCAGGGCCGGGGACAAACTGCAACCGAGGTACATGCCCTTAGCGGGAACCGAACCCGGGTCTCTCCAGACCGCAGGTGGACGCTCTAACCGCTGAGCCAAACCGGCCAGGGCGATTTTTAGATTTTTAAAGGAAGGAACATCAATGTGAGAGCAAAACATCAATCAGCCACCTCCTGCACACCCTCTACTGGGAATCAAACCCACTACATTTCGGTGCACAAGAAGACACCCAACCATCTGAGCCACATCAGCTAGGGCTTGTTGTTGATGTTTTGCTCTCTCTCTCTCTCTCTCTCTCTCTCTCCAGTGAGCAGTAATGGTTTTTACATAACCTCTTCCTACATTCTTATCAGTTCTAGTTATCACCAATGATGTGAATTTCTCCCAGAATGCCAACTGGATTGAGGGTTCGGTCTATGGTCAGAGAGCACAGAGGGTTTAGCCAGCACCAGAATAAAAATTATGAGAAGCCTCAGAGTTCTGGCTCTGGCACTTTACTACCTAACTGACTTTGGATAAATTACTTAATCTTTGTGAATCTGTTTCTTCTACTGTAGGACAGGAGATTAACTATTATACCAGAGTGACTGCAGCACTTAGCATATTGCCTGGCACACAGTAAGACCCAATAAATGTTAGTATCATTACTGGGAAAGGAGCTACACAAAATGTCCAGAATTCCTTAATAAGACACATGCAATTTTATCCCATCCCATGATGGCTCTCACCAGTACCGTTCTTTTCTCTGTAACAGTGTACAGGCAAGATGGTAGAAAAGTAGCTGCCATCGGCGTCATCCTGCACATCGGTTTCCTCCTGGCATTGCATTGAGCTTGCCTAAGCCAGATTTCACCACCTTTGTGCTGATGACTAAGGCCTCTGCTCCTAGAACAAAGGACTAGTATTAATGGCCCCAACTGGGAAACTCTTTTTGTTGTGAGCGTTTCCTTGTTGCTCTCTCACATTTATGGTGCTATTTTTGGATATCTGTGATCACAGATTCCAACTGATTATCATCCTTTTTAAAAGATAAGAATTATCTATTATTTGGTCTAGAAAGGAATCTAAAAGTCCTTTGTTCCAAGTCTGGCTCCTAGCACAGTGCGCTTTCACACTGGCCATAGTCAATGTTCAGCAAAGACCTATTGACTCTTGTCCAACCCCGTCATTTTAGAATGAAGAAAATCAAGGCCCAGAGAAGTGAACTGGTGAATTTCTCAGGGCCAGACTCTGGATCTCTGGCTAAATGGTTAGCAATACATTCTACCACATGTCAAACACGCTTTGGGTATTAAAGATTTCCAGGATACAATCCTGGAGACTCCTCTTTTTTTCCTTAGAAAAAGTTCTTTTCCCCTTGTTGAAAATGACAAAAACCCTCTCCACCCACCCACCCCCATTCCCCTCTATAGCACCCATCACCATCCAGCACACTGTATGTTTTATTTGTCTGTTTAATTGTGGTCTGTCTCTAGAGGCTTCTCATGTGCAATTTAGTGTTCATTAAGTGTTCTGTATCTTTTTTAATTAAAAAAATACAAAGTCTTAGCTATGGAATTTAGTAACATATATAGTCCTAACCAACACCTCTAGCTTTCATTTTGGAGCCAACAATTGTAAATTAAAACCCTGTCTCTCCCACTTTCTAGTTGAGGACTTCAGACAAGTAGCTTCAGCTCTTTGAACCTCAGGTGTTTGTTGTTTGTTTGTTTTTTTATGTATAAAATGGGGGATTAGGATGAACTGTTATATAAATATTTAAAATCATTAGATCAAAGATAAGCACATAGAAGAAAACCTAATAAATGTCTTCTATTACTATAAACCTTGTAGACTTCCTGTTGTCAACAAACTTAAATATTAAATAATCCGTGACATGCTTCCTCATCTTCCCATCTTCCAGAATTTAGTCATACTAATCTCTCCACCTGAAATAGTTCTCTGCTCCATCTCGTTTCAGCCTTTTGAAACCCTAGTTTTCTTCTGAGGCTTAATAAAAATTATCTCCTCTCTCACTCCATCCCAAGAATATTGTGTATCTCTTAGGTCATTTAACATTACTTTGCTTTCTCTTATTATAATTTGTATGGTTGTCTTGATTTCAATAGTATACTGTAAATTTCCCAAGCCAGAAGTTCTATTCATCTTTAAAACCACGGTACCAACTAATACTTTGTATCTACGATTTAATTGACTTAATGTGTTTAATTTAATTAAAAGGAGGCAAAACAGGATTTTTATATTGGGTAATTCAGAATTCCTATTGTTAATTAAGTCAATAGTAGGGTAAAATTCCTGTTGTTTAAAGATACAGATTGTCAGCAGAGTTTTATAAATAAGATAAAAATCATAGGAAGGAAATATAGAGAAAGATGGTCCAGGAAGAAGGAAATGAAATCATGACTGTCCCCACAGGCCACACAGCTACAAGTGGCAGTGAATGACCCTTTTTCCCCAGAAGCTGTTATTTCAAGTTCATGGATTACTAGGTTAAATGGAATGAGGTAAAACTAAAGGGAAACAAAATATATTCCTTAGCATTTGACTGTTCAACAAAACTCCCTGGTATCATAGTGAGAATGGGTCGAGTGTACATACTCTATCATTTGAGATGCTTGCACTTTCAGGGAGTTTTGTACACATAGGCGAGTTTAAGTTTTAGTAAGAAAAAAAACTCACTGTTATTTTCATTTGGATTGACTGAAGTTAGCAACATTTTAAAGCAAGGCTAATATCAAACTTCTTAAATGCCTAAAAGAATGTAGTAACATGAGGGAAACAATCAACTGAATAGTGAGAATGACTAGTTATATGCAATGAAAATTAAAGTCTTGTATGAATGTAATTGATTAAAGATCAGTTACATGATATCATTTTGATATCATGAATTATTAGTTGTTAAGGTAACTGGAGCATCAGATACCTGTCATCCTGTGACTTCCTAGTATCTCCACCTGGAAAAGGAATCTTATGCACCTGGTTACATAGAATGGCCAGTTCAGAAAATTTCAAGTGATAGTTATAATACATTGAACCAAGTGTCAAATGAACCAAGAGAACATGAGATGTATGTTACTTTCCTTAAAGAAACCATCATTTTAATGGCCTAAACAGCCACCATTTACTTTATAAATTTTAGAGGATTATAATTTGGGAGGTAACCTAATTTATTTACACTAACAAAACAGAGAATCTATATCTTGCATGTGTCCCTTCACGTCGAGGTTTCTCTCTCTCTCTTCCTTCCTCTCTCTCCCTCCCACTCAATCTGTACAAAAAATGGAAAAATATCCTCGGGTGAGGATAAAAAAAAAAAAATCGGATCTATATCTTGCAAAAATCACAAAATAAAATAAGAACCTTGGTCTTTTTTGAGTTCAAGTTAGTATACAATCAACTCTAATATAACTACCCTTACATTTTTCTTTATATGAATTTTTAACAACATACTTAATAGAAAAATAGTAAAATAATTGTTTTTTCATCCTTTGCATTTTAGGGTACATATTTTATGGTTTTTGCTCTTTCAATTTTTAAAATTAAAAATAAGTACATGGTTAATATCATTTTTATTAAGCAGATTTCTTCTTTTTAAAAAAAAATTTTTCTGTAACTAATGATTTCTTTTAATTTCAATTACAGTTGACATTCAATATTATATTAGTTTCAGATGTAAAACATAGTGATTAGACATTTATATAACTTACAAAGTGATCATCTCAGTAAGTCCAGTAACTATCTGATACCATACATAATTATTACAATTTTCTTGACTATATTCCCTATGCTGTATTTTAAATCCCTGTGACTGGTTTTAATAACTGGCAATTTCTTTCTATTTTTTTTTTTTATCCTTACCTGAGGACATTTTTTTTCCATTTTTTGTTCAGACAGATTGGGAGGGAGAGAGAGAGAGAGAAACATTGACGTGAAAAGGACACATCAAGTGGCTGCCACCCGCACGACCAATCAGCCAGGGACAAACTGCAACCCAGGTACGCGCCCCCAGCGGGAACCAAACCCGGGTCCTTCTGGACCGCAGACCGATGCTCCAACAGCTGAGCCAAACTGGCCAGGGCATAACTGGCTATTTCTTTAAAACATTTGTCAAAAGATGGTGGGATAACAAAAGTTTATTTCTGATTACATTCATTATTTTCACTGCAGAATGGTTTCTACACATATTATTTTGCACACTAACTTTTATTAGGGGTAGTATATAAAGTATATGTAAAATGCTCTAAGTACATTAGACTAAAACTGATGTGGCTTTTTAAATTTGTTTATGCAAAAAAATTTACTGATAGAATATTTCTGCGAGAATACACAAGAAATTGCTTACCATGGTTACTTTTTGGGAGGAAAATTCCATGCTTAGGAATGGGGACTATTTCCGTGTGTGTGTGTGTGTGTGTGTGCGCGCGCGTTTAAGCATTTCCATCACTTTACTATTTAAAAACAAAACACTTTTCAGAATGCTATGTGATCACAAGATTTTATCATTTTCCAATTTATTTTAGTTCAATTTATTTACTTAAATATGATGTTAGTATGTGAATTATTTGGTAAGAATAGAACCTAAAAAAGTAGACTAATATGCATTTCATCTCCAATTTAAGTCTCATAACACTGGAGAAGAAGTTAAAGAACCATTGTGGATTTACAATTATTTTTCACTCTGTGCAACTAGATGACTTCACTGGAAAGAAATTTCCAGACCAAAATAATTTTTATGATTTGGAACAGACATACTGACATTAATTTACTTAGCCAACTTATTTAATTTGGATGTTGAACTTATTTAATTTAGGCCACATTAACTACTTTCACTAACTTATTTAAGCTATTTTTAACCAACCTTTTACATTTAAACAATGGGGAATCCAAAAAAATGCATGGGTTCTGGAAACATGTGTGGTTTTGTCTTGACTCGCAGCTTGCTACCAGGGAAGACTCCATGGGCTCATCTAACTCCTTTGAGCCTGGGAGATCCTGAAATGTGTGGTATTTCTAATACAGAAAAAGAACCTCCTAACTTTTTTTCTTTGTGAAAGTGATTTATTAGATGTAGATACATAAATACAATTAGAAAGGAAACATACTTTAGCTAATTCACCTCTCCCTGTCACATATTTTACAAATTAGAAAACCAAAATCCAAAATGAAATAAGTAACTTTTCCAGTGATGGCCAGTGTCAGAGCTGAGACTAGAACCTCAAAGTACTCAGCAAGAAAATCATTGGGTTTTTTTGTTCTTGCTGGTTTTTTTGTTTGCTTGTTTTGTTTTGTTTTCATAAACAAAACCTCTGCTTACAAAATGGAGAGTGGCTATGGATGGGTGTCTAAGGCCAAGTACCCTGAAATAGTTAATGCTTCCACTCTTAATTTGAATTTGACTCTATAAGCAGTGGGTAATCCCCGGAGAGAAAGAGAAATATCTGACTGCTTGGGAAGATTTCTCACATTCATGCTTTATTTTTGTTCTAATCTTTTAAGCATCACTAACGAGGTTTCAGTTTATAGCCCAAGAGAAAGTTTATATTGCATGCAAACATTTTTCACATCGGACACTTTTCCGGGCTTTACAAAGTGGCAGCTAGATGGATATTGCTTTCCAAAAAGTGGAGAAGCCAATACTACATGAATCAGGAATTCAAAACCCGTGGTGTCAAGTGTCATCCAAACATTGGCAGATCCAGTGGAGGAAATTTTGGGGGCAGAACGTTAAGATTCTTGCTCTCTCTTCTCTGGTATCATCCGCTTATCCTCCCAACATTACAAAACACTAGTGAAGAAAGAAGACAAAATGCTGTTGAGGGTGCAGACGATTATTTAATGTCAGAAAAGGCCTCTGCAAGTTGTAAATAATATCCATACCCTGATCAGCCTTTTATCCCCAAATGTGTAAACCCTTCCCAGCCTTTTAACACACTGGATGGCTAGGCATCTAGGGATGTGGAGGCTGCTTCTGAGAACACAGCTCCGTTCCATTTCCCCTCTGGGACTTCAGCATCCACAGTTCCCACATAAATGCGTTTGTAACTGGGGGAAAGTTACGTGCTGTATATTTCTGAAACTCTTGGAGAAGTGAAGGGCTGTTATTTCCTGCCTGGTAGTGTCCTCCTTTCTTGCTTCACAAACAAAACCCGGAAATGACTTGGGAAAGGAGGGAAAAGGGGAACAAAAAGTAAAACTTGCGCTGCTTCTCCAGGGCAGTGGGCTAGCGCAACCTCAACCCTTGGGCCCCAGCCCAGGCCGGTTCCCCGCGGGCGCGGCGGGCTCGGGAGCTGCCCGGGGTCCTGGGGCTGAATCCTCCCGGGGGGTGGAGACTGGGGAGAGATCAGCTGCTGAAGACCCGGGGACGCCGGGCAGGGCGGGCGCGGGGACCACCGCGGGAGGCGGTCCCCGTCCTGCGCGCGCGGGCGGGGTGCGCGCACCACCGTTATTTTGGGACGCGCCCTGGTTTCCAGCATTTCTAGCCTCTGCGCTTGCACAGCCGTCCCCGGGCCCAGTTCTGGGGCGACGATGCCGGCCCTGCACATCGAAGATCTGCCAGAAAAGGAAAAGCTGAAGATGGAAGTTGAGCAACTTCGCAAAGAAGTGAAGTTGCAGAGACAACAGGTAAATTGGCTGTCCCAGAGTATTTACTCCTCGGAAATAAACCGGGGTCCGCTTTTCCCGGGTTGCGACAGTAAAACAAGTCGTTTTTGTTGTTTTTGCAGCTTCTCTGGGAGTGGGGCTTTGGTGGCGCCTGGGAACTGCCGGTTGATGTGGGAAACCATAGGAGGACAAGGAGGGAACAGGCATCTGATGAGTAATTTAAAGCCAAATGTCAGAAGGTCTGAGACGCCTAGACGGGGGAGGGAGGCACAAGCAATGTTGCCTGCTGTTGGACACTTGGTTTTAAAAACTCAAGCTGTAGGAAAAAGACAGATGGCTACTTAGTTCCTTGATCTTTTTCGTCATGGGAAGAATGGTATTTGAAAGGCTTTTTAAAAATCACAATTTAAAGTCTTGAATGACCAAGTTTTGAATTTCGCCAGACCTTTCCAGAGGTGTTCAATGAACAGTCTATTGGGGACTTGGAAGCAGAACATCACAATTCCTATGTTTATTTGTAACTCTCATCCCTTTATAATTTCCAGTTTATGTTTTATAGGTGATGAACTAATACAGTAGTGTCTATCTTAATGTATAAATAATTATACATATATGGAGGTACATATGAACATTCTTTTTAGTGATCATGAAGAAAAATTGTAGAGACCATCAAAGTGGATTACACATTCAGTGAGAACATATACCCCAGTGTTCAGAAGTCTCCACTGAAATTTGTTGGCGATTTTGTCATTTTTATTTCAATTTCTTACTGAAAATAGGGGCCTTTGTTTCTTCCTTTTTTCCTCAATCAGGCAATCTGTAGTCCAGGAATAGGTTGCTTTTTGTCTGTTTGTTTTTGTTTTTTAAGGGAAAAGATCTAGTTCTTTTTTCACAGCAAGAAAAATTTGAACTGATTTTCTTTCTTTGTGGTTTAACACTAAAAAAAAAAAAAAAAATTAAGAAAAACAATGGGCATCCTCTCTCTTTCCTTCCCGCTCTGAGGATAAATGCAAAAATGTCCTCAGGTGAGGATAAAAGCAAACAAAAAACAAGGGGCGTGAAGCAGGTATGGTAAAAGCGCTCACTTACTCCTGCTGTAGTTACGGTAAGTCTGTTCATGGCACGAGTCTTGTCACGCAGGATGCACATTCTGAGTGATGTTGGGAAGATTCGGGCTTTTTTGAGTTTTACTCTTTGCATATTTCTTTTCTTCAATTTAATCTTTCACTTCCAAATCCCTACTCTTTCTAGATTTTAAGCAAAGTTCTTTCTATCCATGCTGAAAGTTTTTGTAGCTATAAAAATACTGATGTGTTGAAAGGGGGAAGAAAAACAAAGTTACAGGACTCAATGAATAGGCTTGTTTCTCAACTGGTTCAGGGACCCCTCTTGTGTGTGGCACAGCCCAGCAGCAAAGCACACAATGTTGGCCCGTCCTTCTTTCACACAATGAAACTGAGAAGTTGCATATTAAACAGAGTTGTATATACCAAAATAAAGCCTTGTCTGCAAAGTTGGAACATCTTCATATCTAGTATCACTATGCAGAAGTTATCAGGAAAGAGAGACAAATGTCTTCTAGCTATATAAAGCTTCAAATTAGAAGTTGGGCAGGGCCTGGATGTAACTGACTGTGGAAATATCATTCATTAGTGGGTCCTCCCTACCAGTTCCCCACCATCCATGTCTAGAACACACTCTGCTAGGTCAGCTTTCCAACTTCAGAAACTCCAATTCTATGCCAGAGGCAGAAACTATTTCAAGGATAGCGTGAGGGGACAGAGAGAGAGGCATCGAAGTCCTAATAATAATATTCAAACATTTTATAATGCACTTTGAATTATAAAGTATTAGTGCCAGACAAATACTATGGGTCTTAGAGATCCTTCAACCCTCTTATGAATTAAAAAACAACAACAATGACAACAAAAAAAAACCCTGAATCCCAATGAGGCTAACTAGCTCCTCATTTCAGGCCCCAGAACTAATGATAGGACAGTTACTAAAACAGTCTTCTAATGCTCGCTCATTATTCTGTCCATCAATTGTTCATGCCTGAGCCCTGGGTTCTGCTGAGGCCAAGGACATGAAATTCACAGGCTGGATTCTGGCTCCAGCTCATTGTTGTTGAAACATATCCTCTTGATCATGGAAGGAAATGCATCAGCGGAGTACTTTGGAGTCTACAGATCTCTTTGAAAACCTAATGAAGAAGCCTCCTTATGAACAGATGCAGTTCAGGGGAACTTGAATCTTATCTATAAATTTCTCTGGGGCCACAGACCCCACGTTAGGGATACTTGCATTCTGAGAATTCACTTCAAGTGCGCACACACTAAATGTCAGCCAGGAAGGAGAGCAGATGTTACCTGAGAGAGTGGTACTTGAAAAGACTTTATTTTGCCACATTTTAAGCCAGATAAATACATCACCTAGCTTTAAATTTTAGATCAGTGGTGTGCAAGGAGTCTTTGGGGTACAGGAGTAAAATATTAAATTTTCTATTTTTGGTTAGGTTTAAATTTCTATTTTTAAATAATTTCCAGGTTATGTTTTATATTATGGATGATGTATTGACACAGTTGTATCTGCCCTTATTTATAAGTAAATAATTATTTACATTTTGGGATACACATGTACACGTTTCAGTGGTCACCGTTAAAACAATTTAAAGATTAGCTCTGGCCAGTTTGGCTCAGTGGTTAGAGCGTTGGCCTGCGGTCTGGAGAGACCAGGGTTCGGTTCCCGCTAAGGGCATGTACCTCGGTTGCAGTTTGTCCCCGGCCCTGGTTGGTCGTGCGGGTGGCAGCCACTCGATGTGTCCCTTTCACATTGATGTTTCTCTCTCTCTCTCTCTCTCTCTCTCTCTCTCCCTCCTTCTCTATCTGAACAAAGAATGAAAAAGTGTCCTCGGGTGAGGATAAAAAAAAAAAAAAAAACAATTTAAAGATTAGTAATCTAGATTACAAATTCAGTGGGAACATTTTTGTCTAGTTTTAAGTGGTCTCCCCTGAAATTTGCTCGAGTTTTATCATTTTTACTTCTAATTTCTTACTAGTAATAAAGGCCTTCATTAAGATAAGAATCCTTTTTTTCCCCTTTCCTTTTTAGTACTTTTATTTTTATCCACTCTTGCAACCTGTCTCTTAAGGACAGGCTTTTTAAAGAAACTATTTAATCTTTTCTCCATTTCCGATAAAGTTTAAAATGTTTACACACACACACACACACACACACACACACACACACATCTCAAATTAGCATAATAAGCCTCAGATAGGCCTTTAATTATGATCATTTCCCTCAAGCAACTAACTACTAACTAACCAAACTGAGCAGGAAGGAATTCTGAGCTGACAGGATGGGAGACTTTTACCTTCCCCCGAGTCAAATCTTCTCCAATGCTTCTATCATTCTGTGAAATTGCAGAAGGTGGCACATACCCATAAGTGAGAATTTTGGCAGGATACACCCCAAAACATTTGGGAATTTACTACTGCACTTGTTCATTAGCATGGAAAATTGAAAGCGCAGTTTGGTTTAGTTCCTACAATGTTGTGGGCACATTATAGCCATGTGCTAGCAGAGGAAGGAAGTCATGTGAGGCACAGTGGATAGAAATTGCTGAGGATAACATATTTAATACAGTGACTTTCAAATTTTCCAACCCTGACCATAGTTAGAAATATACTGTACACAGATTGTATCATTTATTATATTACATATGCTCCATGCTGCACTGTAATGTTTTTGTCTTGCTGTGAATGCTGGCCGTACCCAATTATATTAATTTCACTAAAAGGAGGTGACCAAGTTTGAACAATCCTGACCTAATTCAATGATTTCTCTCTCTCTCTCTCTCAAGGTGTCCAAATGTTCTGAAGAAATAAAAAACTACATTGAAGAACGTTCCGGAGAGGACCCTCTGGTGAAAGGAATTCCAGAAGACAAGAATCCCTTTAAAGAAAAAGGCAGCTGCATTATTTCCTAACTAACTCTGGGGAGAAACCTGATCCTCAGTGGAAGTACTAGCTTGTTTTAGTTTTTCCGTAATAAAACCGACATGCCTTTTAAAGAAGAAAAAAACCAAATTTAAAGCGGACTTTTTCAAGCACTTATATAGATACGGTTTTGTCTAAAAACTGTGCGCTTCTTATCTTTGCTCACTACCCACCCTTTTTAAGAGGGCAGAGAGTATCAAATGTACAATTATGGAAATAAGGACATTACTTGGGTATGACTCACCTCTTTCAGTATATTGCTTGATGCCTCTAATAAAGTGTTATCTCTGGAAAAATGAGTGTTGGCAATTTAAGAAGGCTTTTTTTTTTTTTTTTTTTGCATTCACTTTTATATTTCTCCCCATACAGTTTTGGGTGTTTGGGACATGTATCAAAAGATGAAATGGTTTCATAGATCAGGTCTCCAATCCAGTTTTCCTTGCTTTGGACCTCTCAGAGTGTTACATGGCTGAGTTCTGACTTCTGCAATGTTTTTGCTCTAACATTAACTGTTAGGGAACTGAGTGAGTAGAATCCCTAGTGTTGACAGGCCTCAGATGATCTGAGTCAGGAAGGAACTAGGCCAAACCACATCTACATGAGCACTTCCTTGGTTTATCATCCCACAGATCTTGTTCAACGTGTTGCTGCTTTGTGGCCTTGGGAAAGTGAGTGGGTTGGGGATCACAAGGAGCACCCTCTGGGCCAGTATGTTCACCCTCGGGGCGCTGCATCTCCACCTGGTCTCCCGGTCTTGGGCATAGCAACCCTCCAGCTGTGCGGCTTTGGCACAGACGCTTGGCTCTGCACCCACTCCTGCCAGCCTTTTCCAGCAGGCCTGGGCAAGCATGCCTCTTTCCCTTCTCCTGCAAAGGGACCAGTTACTCTTCTGCCCATTTCTAAAATTAGCTAGACTTTTTCCTGACTTGTAGGAATTTTTCATCTATTCTGATCATTCATCCTTTGTTGATAATAGGTGTTCACAAATACCTTTTCCCAGTGTGTGGCTTCACTGTTCAGAGTACAAGGTCTACATGAATCCTCTATGAAGGCACCTACAGGTTGGACCTCAGAGAAAGGGACCTTTCTTCATTTCTTTGAGCATTTCCCCCCCTTTCTCTGATGTTTAATTGCTCCAGTTTTGAATCAGAAGAAAGGCAAGCAAAACCCTTGCAAGTTAGCCACAGCTCAAATGGGCTGAGTTACTAACTCACCTACCAATTTTAAACATGGAACCGGAAGCCCAGGTTTCTCCTTGATTAGGCCTTTTCTCCTGCCTAGATGCCGAGGTGTCCTTATCAAGCCAGAGACGGGCCTGTGATCAGTGGCAGCTTCCTGCAGTGCATCAGCACCCTCACTTTGAAATTACTTTCCTTCCCCTCTCTGCAAGAGAACAGGATACCCCTGGAGCATTTGAAAAAGCAGGTTATAACAGACTGAGAACAGCGACTATTTCCTTCAGTTTCCTGCCTTTTTCCAAGTCCTGACGTCAATTGGAATTACTGAGAGTCCCAGGATAATTTTAGCCCAAAGCATGATCTACTCCAAGGTGACGTTAAAGACAGTAAAGGTAGATATATTTTCTCCAACGGCCAAAGAACAAGTAGTGTTTGGGATGTGTTTCTACTATTAGTCACTTAACATTGAGGTGGCGCGGGATTTCAGTAGCTTAGTACTTACTGAGTTTCACTTGAATGAGCTGTTCCGTTTCTATCAAGTCATAGAGTTTTCTTCCGTTGCATGAGAAAGCAAACATCAATTCTGGTTGCTGGTAAAGCAGATTAAATCGTGTGTTTCCGTCACCAAAGGCCAGGTCAATACATTTACCCCCTAGCTTTTTGAGAGTTGTGGATTACAATGAAATACCCTGAATTTCTATTAGTCAAATTCAACTTCATTCATGTGCACCTCCAAGTCCTAGCTTTTGCTTTTCATGTACTTTCAACCATGTGACAAATTAGTTAGCCCACTTTCAGTTTTTCCTTAACAAAATAGCCAATCTTGTAGATGTTTCTACTAAATCTAATTCTATTCTATTTTTCTTGTTGTTTCATTAGAGTAATTCAGCAAACCTATAGAAGTGTAATAAAATCCTTTTGATTTTCTGCGAAAAAGTTATTAGCTTGAATTATGAAGAAAATGAAAAAAATGGTAACTCTAGATTTGGATATATTATAAAAGTAACATTTAGTAAGTGGGAATTTGTTAAGCACAATTTAAATCCTGTGTTCAGTTTCTTCCTAGTATACACAGTAGTTTGCAATCATTTGATAACTGATAAAATAGTTATTGTGCTTTGTGTATTGAGACTTAGATTCAATGAACTCATATAAAATTAGCAACATTGGCTTTTCTCTTTCTGGGCAGAATCTACAATACAAGTTCATCCATACTTGCTATTTTAAGAAAATTTCTTTTATATGTTTCATGCAAACATATCTCATTATTGTCTAAATTTGCATTTCCTTGATTTCCTGTGATTTTTAGAGATTTTCTTGTACCTTTTGATCACTTTCACCCAGCCCAAACTCCCTGCCTGTAGTAATCTCCACTCTACACCCACTAGTGTTTCTCTTTTTTTAGATTTCACATATAAATCAAATCACATAGTATTTGTCTTTTTCTATCTGACTTATTTGACTTAGCATAAATGCCCTCAAGTTCCATTCATGTTGTTCCAATGGCAAGATTTCCTTCTTTTGTTATGGCTGAATAATATTCCATTGTGTACATATTAATATATCGTATTTTATTTATCCATTCATCAATCAAGGGACATTGAGGTTGTTTTCAGATCTTGGCTATTGTAAATAATCCTGCAATGGACATGGGTGTGCATGTATCTTTTCAAGTTAATGTTTTCATTTTCTTCTGATAAATTCTCAAAGTGGAATTGCTGGGTCATCTAGTAGTTCTATTTTTAATTTTTGAGGAAACTCTATGCTGTTTTCCATAATAACTGTACCAATTTATGTTCCTTGCAACAGTGCACAGGAATTCTCCTTTCTCCAAATCCTCATCAACACTTGTTATTTCTTATCTTTTTAATGCTAGTCACAACAGCCATTAGAACATAACGTCATTCAGGATACTAATAAAAATTGCTACCCGTTAGGGCCAATGTTAGAACCAATCTCAAGAATGAGATTGAGATTTCTCATTACATTTTTTTTTTTATAAAATTTTAATTTTTGGACCCTTGGAATATATTATCTGGTTTTAAAAGTAAAATTAATTTTGAAATAAAAAAATAAAAGTTAAATTTAGGCTTTGTAGTACTCTACAAAGTATATTAATGTCCTATGGATCAGAAATAAGTTTGTATAGTCAACATGATTGACTAGTAGTATATTTTGATCTGTTAAACTTATCTTACCAAATAAGACAAAGATATTGAATCAGTAATAATTATATTTCACCATTATGCCCTTGAACTGAGTCTTAGAAGGATGATAATCAAGGAGGAACGAGGCCCTGTTTTGAATATAACAGCCTAGAAGAGCAGCGACTACTGAGATGTCTTTGGTTGGGCAGAGAGGAGGGGGATGGTGACAAGAAATGTGCTCTCCTGTAGGATGAGCCCGGACACCCTGTTCGGTGCACTGGGCTGTCCTAATGGGAAGATCATTCAACAATAGAAATGCTTGGAGCTCCTTGCATGTACTAGGCACTCGTTTAGTGTTAAAGGATATAGTGGTGGGTTAGACAAAGTCCTTGGCATCATGGAATTTATAGAAATTATAATCAATCGTATATCAGTGGAGATACCGTATATTATGATATACATATATAAGTTAGGATAAATAAGAAAGTGTTCTTGTATTTTTTTTAGGATGATGAGGGAGATGATGATAGCTTATACATATGAAGTGGTTAACAGTTGTCTGGCACTGGAGTAAGTTTTATACATAAATTATGTTTTTAAAATTCTCACAAGTACCTTATGTATCAGGTAAATAATGTACACAGTCATATAACAAGTGTAACTAGCAAAATAGAGACTGTGCCTTAAACATTAAGCAATATACCTCTCTTGCAGAAGCCAGCACGTATGCAGAGTTAAAAGAACTATTAGCTCAGCAATCTTCAGAAATGGCTTTTGGCGTAGGTAAACTAAGCCAGCTACTATAGCCTCAGGAATTCTTAGCTCTGGTGTATGACACAGAGCTTTATGGTAGCTTATTTTAGTTGTTTTTACTTGTTGTTGGTTGATTTTCTTTAATCACAACCTAATAACACATTTAACTGATAACGAGAAGGTGAATTTTGCTTTAATAAAAATCATATCACAACTCTAAATTATTGCAACAGTGATAAACTGTAATTATATATCAAATAGCTTATGCTTACTTGCTGACTAATATAATCTCTCAGTTTAGTACCAGAATTTTATGTGATAGAATCTACATGAATGATGATAGAATGCCTAGAAGAAATAAATCAGACTTTGAAAGGACTTCCTTGCAAATATCAAAATGATTAAGTGACAGCCCTAGAGAAATGCCTAAAGGTACTAACCAATCTTTCTAATAAGGGATCAAACTCAGTCTCTGTAAAAACCTAAATGTTTTTATCTAACAAGTGTAGCCATAGGCTCCAGCTTGTGTCTTCTCAGTCTTTTCCTGTGGTCACCCTGAGGCATGTGATGTTAATGACCTATGTCACAGAGTTGCTCTGGGAATTAATGGGCCTGATTATCCAGGCAAAGAGTAGAGCTCCTTAAACCCATTAAAAAGTCCTCCAGTATTGGCATTGATCAATATTTATCAATGAACACCTTTAAATCCCTTTTGGGAGTAATCAGATTAAATAGAAATACATGGAAAAATACATCTATTCTACAGAATCAGTGTAGTCACTCAGATTCACACAGTTCTGTCTGTTCCTGTGCAGGGAAGTAAGGAATGGGAGTTGGTCTTGCCTTACTGAGTGCTTGAAATAGTATTTGAAAAGTCTGTGTGTCTCAATGTAAGAGAGAGAATGAAGAGGAGAGGAGAGAAACATTTAAACCTAGATTAAACAATTTGAAAACATAATCTAAAAACTCTAATACTGATATAGTTCACTGAAACATTCAAAGGTCCTTGTTGCTAAATGATCCCTCTTTATAACTGAAGTTAAGTGGTAATGAGGAACATCCTGTGAGTATGCGTGCTCTCTAATTGCCAATAACCAGACTCACCTTTTCTCTCTTTTTGTTTTAATTAATCTTTGAAAAATTGTATGCAATTGGGTTTTCAGCTGATTCTTATTTGTACATATTATTTTAATATATAAGCAGATATAAAGTAGAATAAATTAATA